ACATTTTGCATATATTGGGTAAAATTTATACGGCAAAATTTTGAGATAACGTCATCAATTTTTTGGGGAGAATAAACAGATTTATTTTGATTAACAATATACAACTATAGATTTCCTGAACTGCCTAGCTACTGGAAGCTATTTAAAGTGTTTAGATTCTAGGCAGTCCAGGCGATTTAGGTAGGGATTGAAGAATCTAGAGTAAATTTAGAGAGTCCAGGAGTTTAGAAGGCCTCAAAAATATAGAGAATCTAGACTACTTTAATTTAAAGTTGAAAGCTTTAAGACTGTAGAGGGTCTGGATAATTTACAAAATGGAGAAAGCCTACCTAGAAGAGAGAACCTAGAATTCCTAGAAGCACTAGAGTATATAAAGTCTACAGAAAGTACAAAATTGAGGGGTACTCCTAATTATAGACAAGGTTGGATATTTAGAAACCTTATCAAACGTGTAGAGCTTGAAACATCTGTAGAATATAGTATCCAAACAATCTAGACAATTTAAGTCATCTGGAGTTTAAAAACTTCAAAGACTTTACAGTAGCTAGAGAACCCAGAAAATTTACAAAATCTAAAAGGTCTATAGTTGACAATTTCAGGATTGGAGAATCTAGAGAGAATTTAGAGAATCTACGAAACTTAGAAGATTTCCAGATCATAGAAAATGTAGAGTACTTAGAAACTTTAGAAATTCTAGAAAATCTGGACTTTTTAGTTTAGAGTTTAGAGAGTCTGGAGAATCTATAATAGAGAGGGGCTCCCGAGAAGTGAAAATCTAGAATGCCTAGAAGCTCCAGAGTCTTTAGAGTTCACAGAAAGTACAAAGTCTAGGGAGCCTCTTGATTATAGACAACGTAGGATATCTAGAAACCCAATCAAACGTGTAGAGGTTTAAGTATCTATAGAATATAGTATCCAAACCGAAAGAATCTAGACAATTTAAGTCATCTGGAATTTAGAGAAATCAAAGATGTTACAATAGCTAGAGAACCCAGAAAATTGATAAAATCTAGCAACCCTAGAATCTATAGTTGGCAATTTAGGAGTTGGAGAATATAGAGAGAATTTAGAGAGCTTAGGGAACTTAGAAGGCTTCCAGTTCATAGAAAATTTAGAGTACTTAGAAACTTTAGAAAATCTAGAAAATCTGGACACGGGGCTAGTACTTCCTAAGATACGACTAATTTTGGTAAATGATATACCCTCTAAGGAAATAAAGAGCGGATGGGGGCAGGCCTGTACTTGTTAAAATAAGTCTTATTTTGACAAATGATATACCCTCTAGGAAAATAAAGGGCGGGTGGCTGGGGCTAGTACTTGTTATGATAAGACTGATTTTAGCAAATAATATACCCTTTAGGATAATAGAGGGCTGGTGAACGGGGTTTGTATTTGCTAAGATAAGACTGACTTAAGAATTGATATACCCTCTAAGAATACAGATCTAGAACTTCCTAAGATACGACTGATTTTGGCAAATGATATATCTTCTAAGGAAATAAAGGGCGGGTGGGGGAAGGGGCTAGTACTTGTTAAAATAAGTGTGATTTTGGCAAATAATATACTCTTGAAGTAAATAGAGGGCGGGTGGGCGGGACTTGTTCTTAATAAGATAAAACTGATTTTAGTAAATAATATACCCTCTTAGAAAACAGAGGGCGGGTGGGCGGGTCCAGAGCTTTCTAAGATAGGGCTGATTTTGGCAAATGATACCCTAAAACTAGTAGATTCGTATTTTGTAGCCCAAAATGTATAAAAATCAGTCTTATCTTAACAAGTACTATTAGCATACTTTTAGCAGCCCTGTATATATGAAAAACGTATTTCATCGAAATTTTAGAAATACAAATTTTTGAAATCATGTAGTTATAATCTCGACGCCTTCACCATTTTTATTGAGAAAAATATAAAATTATTAAATCAGTCCGACATGAGATTATTGTTATTTAACGTTGTCTTGGTCCAAGCCTATGTTTTTATATTATTTATCCGGATGTTCATAAAACTGTATACTTTATTATTAGTTTTGGTGTTTTATCTAAAATTTTCCGAAAAATAATTGAAACAAAAATATTTAAAATTATTTATTATCCCGGCGCCTCCACCATTGTTACCGAAAAATTAAAATTGTTAAAATCAATATTAAGTGGGGTAATTTTTGCAAAATTCTTTCAGGATGATGGATCTGTGCTTATTATAACCTTGTTTCTTCAAATGAAGGAGAACGTTGAAATTTAAGATACAAAACTAACTTTTGTCAAGTCGAGTCCTAAAAATAGTCATTTATTCATAATACAGATTCAGATCTGCTCTTGCAATACTTATTACTTAATTTGGATAAACAGAAATATAAATGTTTTACACAAATAATTCATCTAGCGCCTCCAAAATTTTTATAAAAAAATTCAAATTGATTAAATCTGTTGGAAATGGGTTGTTCTTTGTCTTCTATCGTTTTTGATACACTTGTAAAGTACAAAATGGACAAGATCTATTACGACAAGAAAAACACCATTAACATGAAAACTATATTTGTAAAAATGATGAGTTAGTGGCCTAGAGAAGACAAAATCTACAAGCTTGGTTTTTATATTCTATATTCTGGCATTTCGATCGACAAAAATTTAGAATCTGTCAGATGGAAACATCTGTTTGTTAAATCATATCATGAAGTGTTTATTGTACTTAACATGTTACTGGATTGTGACTGAATTTTTTAAAGCGTTTTATGGCAATGTAATAACACCCCAACAATCTACTCCTCGACTAAAATTAAGCAACTTTTTGAGCGCAAACTCTATTATAGTTCTAATGTTTAAAATGGCAACAAAAATATTGTTAATTTGTTGGAAAACTTGTATTTATAAAGTGACTCACCTTTATTATCGTAATCTGCAATCAACATACTCATTTCTATTAACGATAAACTAAAAACATTACTATTTTGCCATATAAGAAAATTTTATTGACAAATGGGGTTTCAACCATCGTCAATACTGTCTGTTTAAATTGATTACTGCAGTTAAATTGACTCACAATAAACTAAAATTTGAATGTATATTTAAACCCAGTAATTCTAAACAATGCCACTTAATTGGATAATTACCCTTTTATCATCTTCGCTTATTAATATTATATGTAATTCTCTAATTAATTATTCTTCGAACAAATAATTCCAGATATTAGCCAGAAATATACCAATAAAAAACTGTAATAGGTGGTTGAAATTTGCCCAGTTTTCCTTTAATTAACGGGTATTTTTCAAATACATTTTTTTAGTTCTTTGAATAAAAGTAAAACAATAAAGTAAGCTATAATTAGTAAGAAAAAATGCACCTTAATTTTTAAAGTCGGTTTTAGTTGTAGGAGACATTTTTTATTAGGTAGTAGGGTGTCATTGCGGTACAAAAAAAATCGGGAGACATTCACTTAGAATAACCTACAAAATGTGTGTTCTTTGAAAAGTGAAAAGTGAGTATAAGTGTTTGCACTTTTTTTATAATTTGTTCTGAAGTTTTTCATTTCATTTTTCTAAATAAATGTAATATGTTCTAGAGTTTATAAATATAAAAGAATTATTATTAAAAAGTAAAAAAAACATAACGTAACTCCCTTTACTAATTTATTATATTTTATAAAATAAAACGGCGAGAAGCATATACACTCAAAAATAAAATATTTTCACGTGTTATAGGCATGCGCAAAAATAATTTTACGATTTGGTTGAACGTATATAAGCTTATAATGTAACAGCAATTTATAGTTTAAATTTGATATAGGTTAGGAATTTTCTACTATTCAAAACTTAATTTCAGGTTTTGGTTTTCAAATTGATTGGATAGTTGAAAATAGAAAAATTAAAAAATAAAGCCAAAAAAATGGACCAAACACAATCATTCGACTGGAGTGCTACTTTCAAGCCAAACTTACGCGTAATGAGAAAATTGGGTCTCTGGCCAGAGGGTAAAGGGTCCTACAAACTAGAACTTTACACCCTTTATGCCACATTCATGGTAACATTTTTCCCCGCCTGCCACATTATAGCACAATTCATCGCTGTCTACTTCGTCGAAGATCTTCAATCAGCAGTGGCCATTATATACGTATCTTTAATCGAAATTATAGCCTCCATTAAAATTTACTTCACTATGAGAAGAACGTCAGTGATAAAAAAGTGCATGGAAACTTTCAAAAAAGATTGGTTCCAACCCAAAAATCAAGACCAGAAGCTCATAATACTCGAAAATTTCAAACTCTGGAACTTTGTGTTTAAAATGTTATACGCCTCTTGTTTCTCCTGCACTTTTTTCTGGTTTCTGCCACTCCTTTTAGGCGAAAGAGAAAATTTGCCGTTTATTGCTTGGTTCCCGTTTGATTATAGCAAGCCGCCGTATTTTGAGTTGGTTTATTTTTATCAAATTTTGTGCACTATTTATCTGTGTCTAGTTCATGTGAGCGTGGACACGACGATATTTGGCTTGAAGGTCTGCATCGGCTGCCAGTTTGACATGTTGAGCGATAATTTGAGAAGATTCGCCAGCGTAGCTGATGGTAGTCAGAACGGTACTCCTTTAGAGAATTTGATAAAGTGTGTGATTCACCGCAAGGAAATTTTAAAGTAAGTGGAAACTAAAATAATCGTTGCTGAACTAATTTTTTTTTCAGATTTGTTGAAAGCTGTGGACAATATTTTAATATGATTCTGTTCTGGCACTTGATTATTAGCGGCGTTTCTATCGGAATAACAATGTTTCAACTTACTCTAGTACGAAAATATTTCTCTCAAGATTTAATTTAAACTAACTGATTTTAGCTTAAGCCACTGTCAAGTGAGTTCTTGTCTATTCTGTGGTACGGAATTGCGATAACTTCGGAAATATCCATGTATTGCTGGTTCGGAAATGAAGTCAAAGTCAAGGTAATTTTTCAGCGAATGACAAAATTGGTCTAAATTTATTTAAACAAAATTTCAATTATAAAATATTTCTTTTTATTTTCAGAGCAACCTTGTATCTTACGCAGCTTTTGAATCTGACTGGACAAGCTTACCAAATGATGTCAAAAGGAGTCTTATGATATTTACACAAAAGTTGATAGAACCTTTAAGAATATCAGTTTTTAATTTATTTGATCTATCCTTGGAAACATTTAAAAGAGTAAGAAAATGTTATCTTATCGTGTAATTACGTAATAGCAAATGAATATTTTTTCAGATCATGAAAACAGCGTGGTCATATTTTACGTTATTGACACAATTAAATAGTAGCTAAATAAATTTAAGAAAAATTTTAAACCAAATTTTGGACGAAAATTATGTGTTTCATTAGTTATATGTAAATGTAAAGCATTAAACAAACATAAATATATAACATAAGTTGTTAAGTATTATCTTTGAGTAGTTTTTGTTTGATGCAAATTTGGGTCATATTTAGTTAGCTAATAATTATCAGATGGTTAATTTTTAAGAACATTGTAAACAACTAGTTGTCAATAGATCAGATGCTAATGGTCGCAAAACATCTACGGGTTACATAACTATTTACTGTACAGCATTATAATAAAAACATTTTGGTCAAATCTGTACTGGTTTTATTATTTAGGATCTTCAAGAAAATATATAAATTTATGTCAGATTTATTGTTTCATCTGTAATATTATGCTATACTTATTGATTATCCTTCTTATGTAAAATACTGCCATTTTTGCAAAACGACGTCATCAATAATTTTTCTAAATGGTAACCCTACACTATTATTTCGGATTCTATAGATCTTTTTATTAGGTAAATGGTCGTAGAAAAAAATATGTGCATTGCAAGGGACTTTAAATTTGGCGAACGAGCGGATCATTCAAATGATCCACGTCGCCGTATTCATCTACTTTTGAAAATGTTGTTAAGAAACTCTTCACTTCCATACCAAAACGCGGAGGCGCTCGATTTTTTTAGAACAAAATTTTTTGATTGGGTATCACCTTGAAGTATAGTGTCACAAATATCGCGTTTTTGAAAAATTAGAAAATTTTTTGATCAATGTGAAGTATATTTAACGCAGTTCAACGAGGAAAAACATATTCTCAATTTCTCAAAACGTGTTAACTTCGAGTGTTTATGTTCATGCTTCGAAAGAATTCAACTCTTAGCACGTACAGATTACAAGGATGGGTGGCGTCATTTGTGTTAAAATAAAATAAAGTTTAATTAAATTTTTCCTCCTCAACGCAAAGGAGAAATCTACATAAGGCCAGTCGCTACATTTTCTGTATGGAATTTTCAGTGCATTTTCAGAATGTAATATCTCCATTGCGAACAAACTTGTGAAATTTTAAATATAATCTCTCCATAACTCTCGTTATATGACGCAAAGGCAATTTTGTTAACGGTTTGTGATGATAGGGTTTTTTTAATCTTAGTTAAATTTTTGCATAACGTATTTTTAAAAATCAATATCTCAATTATTTAAGGAAATTTTGGAACACGGTTTTGAACACTGTTTTCAGCTTACAAAACCTCAGAAATCTTACTAGATATATCGACTTCTTTTTTGTTAGAAATGATACACAGTAAAAAGACAACTTGTGTCGTGAAAGCTGCTAATCGTTTATTTTATTATATCTCAGTTTCAACAAACAAATTCGAAAATAGATTTATTACGATTTCTACAGCTTTGCAAGCTGAAAACAATGGTTCAAACTGCTTTCCAAAATTTCCATAAATAACTGAAATATTGATTTTTTAAAATAAGTCATGCAAAAATTTCAACAAAATTTAAAAAATAACTAGGTGATAATAAACTGTCTAAAAAATCTGTCCTCGCAATGATATAGCGAAAGCTGTGGACAAGTTACATTTAAAATTCTATAACAATAAGTGTGTTGATAATGGAGGTATAACATTCGGAAAATATAATGACAGGAGCATAAACGGACAAATTTTGATTAACGATTTACCATGTTTCCGATTACGTTAAAACGTTTGCAAGAGTTCAGAGCATTCGGTTTTGGAGTTTCAAAGTTAAATTGCAAAATGTCACCCAATTCATTCAAAAATAAAACTTCAAGAGCTATGGAATTCTTTAAAATCCCTTCAAAAATAAATATCAAACTCCCCTAATTTGTCAATGTCTTTCAAAAATAAAAGACCAGGGACGTCCGAGATTCTTTTGACCTTTGTCAAAAATAAAACAACATGGACTCCTGGATTCTTTCAATCTCTTTCAAAAATAAATCCTACGAGGTCATATAATTTAGATTTTTTTTTCAAAAAACTGGATGTCCAGGGTAAAAGCTCAACACGGATTCATAAACCACAAGTACAGATGTATGTTATTTTATAAAATTAGCCAAATGTTGGTTAGGTTTTACTATTTACACGAAATTCCTAAAAAACGTAATATAAAAGGTTCGATAGTTCCTTAAAAAATTGAAAAAAAATCAACACAGAGACCAGATGGCAGACAGACAAACGGAAACGTTAGACCTATTACTTTTTTCACAGTCCAGGGGTCATGAAACGTCGAGAAAGTATAAAGTAGCCATATTATTTTTTGATTGTTAATTTAGTGTTAAGAAGTATATTCACTTTAAAAGTTATAATTTTATGCTCACTTTAGAGTTAATATGAATACAAAGTATCTGAAATTTTCATAGAGTAGAAGTGTGTCAATAAATTAACATTGAATTTAGGACTTATTATTATTACACAAACGAAAAAAAGTTAGAAAAGTTCTCTCATTTACTTATCACTATTATATCAGTGTGTTACAAATATAGTGTGTAAATTATTCTGAGTTAATTTTTTAACACAAAATTCCGCCTTTTCTTTTTCTTCTTCTATTTTTTTATTATTGGTATGTAAAGTATCCACCATCTTTAGAGTTCAGCATAATCCTGTCAATATAATACTTAATCAAATAGAGACGACGGACAGACAGGCGGAAGCGGGAAGCCTACAATTAACAGCAAACTGCAATAACTAGTAGTTGAGTCATCTTTTACCTTAGAAAATAGCTGTATAAAATAATTTCTTTGTCGTTTCAGCAACGCAGACATGTTAAAAACTTCATTAATAATTAACTTAAATCAAATTATTAAAATAGACGGTAATTTTCAAAAGTGCTGGTTATATCGTTGCAGAAAACTATGAATAATGAAAATCTAAAATTAAAGCAATTATATCGATATAATAAACATCTCTTTGTCTTTGGAAAGCAGTATTAATATTAAAGCGAAGTTTCAGTCTTTGCAGTTACCGGTGGTATAGGTTTCGGAGAGTGAAGTGGTCATCGAAATACTGTTTCTTAAGAAAGTTATAAACACATTATTTAAAAGTGTGAGTTTATAAATACGAGTTGTAATTTTCATCAACTTTGAGGAGTTTTAGTATGCAATAGAAAATACAGTGTCAACAATTTACAGATTGATTGTTCAAAAATGAACATTGGAAACTTCAAAGACTAAAATTCGTGAGGTTCACACCGTCCGAATTCTTTAATAAACTGACAGTAATGTTAGGTAATTAATTACTTTGTGATACAGAGAAAAGTGAGAGGTGTTTTTATCAAACTTATAATTGATAGAAGCTTATAAATGGTGAGTGGTGTTTTTTAAGTTTTTTTTTATAATCACTGAGGACTATGTTACGTGAGATTGTTTATTTGATTCAGTTCTAAAGGATATAAAATTTCCGTCCGTCTTGTTAGTTTTTTTAACGATCAGTATCAAAACTGTTAAAATCTTCTTGATAAACCCTAAAATGAAAATTGTAATCGGCAGTGTATTTTTTTTTTTTTTTAATTTAAATAACTACTATATTATTTAGTATTTGCTTTTATGAATTTTTTGCTCTCCGTATTAAATTATTTCTAAATTTGGTTTTATATTACTATTATAATTTTCGAAAGTATTGTAGGATGGGAAAAATAGGTCTCTCATTTCCGTCTACCTATCGGACTGATTTTTGCCAAATTTACTATGTAGTTTAAGAATATCACCTAGATAAAAAAAATACAAATTTTATACTAACGATTTATGATAATATAAGAGAAAAACGTTCAGTGACCGATGATTACTCTGATTTCTTACACTGTGATTGGTAATATCTGGGTTTTTTTTAGTTTAAAGAGTTCAGAAAGTACATAAATAAAATTTTGCAATATAATATATAACTAGGCAGATAATAAATAAAATTATTTTGGCCTTCGACGTCTCAAATCTTTCTTAGAAAGTTAAATTCAATATGTACCTCTAACACTTTTTCTAGAATCATTATTATTTTAACGTCAAATCAAATCACACAATGTTTAAAAAACAATGAATACCATATAATTCGAGTAATTAATAAGTAAAAATCAAAGGCAATAAGACAATACCTTTTATATATGTTACGTTCACAATGATTTCTTCCACACCACATTTTTTTCATAGCAAAACTCTTTTACTAAAAAATTCTAAAGTTATAAGCACAACTAATCGAATAAATATCAACTGAGCACTGGAATAATTAGAAAATCACCCTTTCAATGCTTATTAATAATATATGCATAATTACCTATTAAATTCATACTGTAGAACAAAAATCATTTAAGGAAAAAATGTAATAAGTACGTCTGTTGCTATTAATGGGTCCGTAATTAAAGGGTTCATCCAATAATAAAAACCCAACAAAATAAAGGTTGTTTACTGTCACACCAGTTTCTCAATAATATAAAATATAATTGGTAGTTTTCACAAAAGCCAAAGCAGGCATTTCAATATTTCATTCTTTAATTTCTGATTAATAGGAAAACGTGTGTTCCCACTTACTGAGTGCTTCGTTGTGAGAAATAGCTGATGCTTGCTCTAGCAAAAGAAAATTAATCTGTGTGAAATTTGCACTTTTAGGAAAAAAACATAAAAGAATTGACACATCACAGCATGACTGAAGCAATATTCTACGACTGGAAAAGCAACCTAGAAATTAATATACTGATTAACAGAGTGCTCGGTTTATGGCCAGACGGGGACGACTCTTTTAAACCTGGTTTCTACGTAGTATATTGTGCAATCCTCATAATCCTTGCAACTTGTCACCTTCTCTCGCAAACAATCAAGCTTTATCTAGTCAGAGACGACATCGAAGCTCTAGCTGGAACCATGTACATAACACTAACCTTAATGCTGGCAGCAATAAAAACATTCTTCGTGATAGTCAAAATGAGGATTCTTAAAAAATGCTTCAAGACCCTCCGCACCAACTCTTTGTTCCAACCAAGGAACCATCACCAAGAACTCATAATCCAACGTAGCGTAGACGTATGGAAAATCATGCTGAAAATTTTCATCACTTCATGCTCTGGTTTCTCAATTTTCATTTTAATTCCAATTCTGATTAATTCTGGAGACCGACAACTACCATTTCTAGCTTGGTATCCTTTCAGCACGGACTCCTCTCCAGTGTTCGAAATTACATACGTTTTTCAGTTTGCTCTCACTAGCTATTTAAGTCTGAGCTGCTTATTCGTAGACGTTTTAGTTTGTGTGTTCAATATGTACATTGGGTGTCAGTTTGATTTGTTGAGCGACAATTTGAGGAATTTTTTTAAGGGGGGTGACACACATACCGAAGCACGGGAAAATCTGCGTAGATGTATTAGACACCATAAAGAAATATTAACGTAAGTAGGAAAGTAAAATAAACTTGTGACTAATTTAGTGTTTTAGATTTGTGGGAGATTATAAACAGTTCTACAGTTGGATTATTTTTTGGCTTTGGATTTTCAGTGGCGTTTCAATTGGAATAACTTTGTTTCAGATGACTATAGTACGTCTAGATTTTATTTAATCCAAGTTTATTTTAAAATAATTTTGAAGGTCACGCCATTTTCTATTGTGTTTGATTCTCTTATATCTTTTGAAGTTGGTATAACATACGAGTTGTTCTTATTCTGTTACTATGGGAATGAGGTGCAAGTGAAGGTAAAAACTTGTTTTTTTTTAACTATTTAAAAATAATAATAATTTTTAGAGCAACTTGGTTTCTCGTGCAGCGTATGAATCTCAATGGACAGATTTACCAGAAGATGTTAAAAGAAGTCTGACTATTTTCATTATTAATGTTTCTAAACCAATAGACATATCTGCCTTCAATGTATTTGTGTTGTCTTTAGAAACTTTTATCAAGGTATGTATTAAGTTATACAGAAATGTAAAATATGTAATACAAAATTTTCAGATTCTGAAAACTGCGTGGTCGTACTTTGCCCTGTTGAGCCAACTTATTGCATAAAGATTATACCGAGTGATTTTAAATATTTGCATTATCGAGTTGACTACAGTTGCACATAGTATGAAATATATCACTTTTCCAAAAATATAAACATTTGTTAGATTTTCAGTTAAATAAATAATATGCAAACCGTTATGTACTAACACGAAAAATATACATTTATACCAGAAGTTGTTCTTATTTTGTTGATGGTGAACAATTTTACTTTAAGAAATATTTTTATTTTTATTATTTTCTCTTCTGTTAGCTTAGAAAGTCTTTGTACTCAATGCTCACATTCTTTCTGTATATTTTTTCCCTTTTCAGTTTTCAGTTTCTTTGTAAACAATTCAGATTAATATCAGATGATAGACAAAACCTCCTCTTTCATGTTTTGTACTAGTATTTGAAATAAAAATAATTGTGGCAAACATCTTCTCATCTGAACATTTCTTTATCTAACTAGGTAGTACTGCAGCGATACTACTTCCACACACAAACGTCCTCTGAATAACCGCGATCTCGCCTCCTATTTTTGACTCTAGTTGGTTCAATTTAATTTTGAAACATTTTTTCTAATCCAGGTTCAGGTGGAATCGGTATTTTTGGTTGCCTATTTTAAAAACATAAATGGGTCGTCTTAGCTGAATAACCCTGTACATATATACTTTTCAGTTGGGCAACAATATTTCTTTAAACGCATACCTAGTCAGATAAAGAAATGTTCAGATGAGAAGACGCTTTGCTCAATTGAACAGGTCAAACGATTTTATAACGGGAACGCTAGACGAGAGACAAGTTTGAATATGGCGCCATTTGTTGCCTTAAAAGCAACCAGCAATTCTTCTTTAAATCTACCTGACGCGCTGGGATAGAGGACTACCGGACGTGGGTCATAAAAGCATCCTAAGCCGATAATGCAGAATAATGATAGTTTATGACAGGCGGCCCACAACACACCTACAGCACAGAATAATCATTTCTCGTATTCTTTTGACATATTAATTTTAATATTCGAGATAATTATTATATTATTCAAACACAATTTACACAATATAGAGCAAACAAGGCTTATCAAACCCGTCTATTAGTTTATTCGCCTAAATGTATTATTAATACCGTTTTCAAAGTACACCAAAATTGAAAAATCGAAAACTTAATAATTGAAAAATTGAAACATTTTAAATGACAAAAAATCGGTAAACCGAAAAATTGAAAAATCTGTAAGTCGAAAAATTGAACAATCCAAAAATTAAACAATTTAAAAATCGAAGAATTGGAAAACCAAAAAATCTAAACCGAGAACTTGAAAAATCGAATAATCGAGAAATCAAAACATCAAGGAAAACAAAAAAATTAACGGAAAATCTAGAACCTAAAAATTGAAAATTTAAAATACCTATCGAAAAATTGAAAAACCGGGAAATCGAAACATCAAGAAATGGAAAAATTGAAGAACCGAAACATTGCAAAATCTCAGAACTGGAATACTGAAAAACTGAAAAATGGAAGGAAAATTGAAGAATCGGAAAAGTGAAAAAATCCAAAACTGAAACATTGAAAAATCCAGAAATCGAAAAATTGAAAAATCACAATTGAAGAAAGAATTGAAAAATCAAGAAATAGAGAAATGGTAAAATCAAAAAATCAGTTAATCGAAAAATTTAAAAAGAGAAAAATTTAGAAACGTCAAAAATTGAAAACTGAAAAACAAAAAAAAATTAAAAATCGTAAAAGTGAAATATCGTAAAGTTAATAAATTGAAAAACTGAAAATTTTGGAAAAAAAAATCCGTATCAAAAACTAAAAATTCAAAAAATCGAGAAAATGAACAATCAAAAAATCAAAACATTGAAATGCCAGTAAGTTGATAAATAGGAAAATATAAAAAACAAAAATTTTTAAAATCCAAGAATTGAACAACAAAAAAAATCTAAGCCTGAAAACTCAGAAAATTGAATAATCGAGAACAAAAAATCTAAAATTTAAAAATTCCACAAAATGAAAAATCATGAAACTGAAAAATCGAAAAGTCGAGATAGTGAGAAATCTACAAACCTAAAACTTTAAAAACTGAAAAATTAAAATATCGAAAAATTTAAAAACCGAGAAAACACAATATCAAAAATTTGAAAAATTAAAGAAACGAAATATTGCAAAATTCCAAAGCTGAAATATTGAAAAACCTAAAAATGGAAGGAAAATTAAAGAATCGAAACAGTGAAAAAATCCCAAACTGAAACATTGAAAAATTGAGAAATGGAAAAATGGGAAAATAAAAAAAATTGGTCTCAAGTGTTTAGACAGTACTTCCCTCGCTATCGGAAACGTGACGACTGCATGCCTATTATGTTATTTTTTCATATTAGATTTCAAAGCATCTGGTTTTGTAGTTCCTGATTAAATCAATAAAATAAATTTGCGCATTCATTAAATTTTTTGAGTCACCCTGTATATCGAATCCAAAAAATATGAATCGAATGATAAATTACAAGAAGAGACTCATCATTTTTTGTAAATTTTAAATGGGATTATACGGCAAACTTTTGAGCTGACGTCACCAATTTTTTGGAGGGGACAAGCAAATATATTTTGACTAAAAATTTATTATGCTCTTTATAACCACAAAACATTTGCAAGATTTCAAAGCATTGGGTTCTGTAGTTCCTGATTAAATCAATAAAATAAATTTACGCATTCATTAATTTTTGGGGTCATCCTGTATATGCAAATCCAAAAAACATGAATGGAATGATAAATCTCAAGAAGAGACTCATCATATTTTATACAATTTAGATAGGATTTATTCAGCAAAATTTTGAGGTGACGTCATCAATTTTTTAGAGGGGATAAGTAAATATATTGTGATTAAAACGGTCCTGGTTTAATAACAAAAAAATATTGTTCGTCTATAAAACAAGCTCGTCTTAGACAAAGTATTCGTAAAAAAATATGTCGTAAAAAAATTTACGTATGTTGGTCCCGACTGCGATTATGGTTTAAATATTTTTTAGAAAATCCTGTCATGGATGTAGAAACATTTGTGACAGCCAAAGAGGTTTTATTGAGAAAATTATCGTTGACTTTAGACCAAATTGAAATAGACACTAGGCAACAGGCACATTTGGGCAAAAGAAAGAGAAATTAGGATTACGGCTTAAAATTTTGGACGTATTTACAAACTTAGACCGACTACAGCAATAGCTAAAACTGTGGAGTCTCTGTTGTACAGTACATTTAGAGGTAATAGTCATAAACTCTGGACAGCAAAGTGAGGAAAAAGCTGTCAAGTGTTTTGAAATAAATAAAATTATAAAAACTAAACGGTGTGGCTTGTTTATTTCAAAACAATTTCCTTACTTGGCTGCTAGTCCAGACAAGGTTCTAGAGGATAGGAGTGCATTAGTCGAAATTAAATGCCCTTCAAAATCGCAAGATTTGTCTCCCGAAGAAGCGGTTAGAAAAAAAAATAATCAAATTTTGTACATTGACAGGCAGAGAATTGAAACTAAAAAAAATAATCATAATTACTACTAAGTCCAGGGACAAATGCTTGTTACGGGTATTTCACAAGTTTATTTTGTTTTATGGACACCCAAAGGAATAAATTTAGAAAAAATTTATAAAGACGAAGAAATATATGTAAAAAGATGGCAGATAAACTTGGCAGATTTTACTTTTGCGCATTATTGCCCGAAATAATTGATTCAAGAAGAAAGAGGAACCTGCCTTTGCGAGAGATTTTTTTTAAATAAATAAAATTTGTTTCTATTTTTTTGTGTACTTTAATAATTTATTAGGAGTACATTTTTCATCACCAAGACTTGCATATTTTTATTATAAATATATTTTGAAAATGTAGGGCTTTTTTAAAACACCTCCTTTCTGGGATAAGTAGTAGATACACTTAGCTACTTATACGTGTTAAACAAAACCTGTATTTTATATATTTATTATTATTATTATAAATATGTTTATTAGTTTTATTAATTAACAAAGCAAAATATATATTAACAATAATATTACAATGATTTTTTAGTAATCATGTGTATTGAATTCAGGATCCTGAGTGGAGTAAAAATATTATAGTTCCCCAGTTTTAATTCGGTTTTATGATAGTACCTCATTGCGTAAAAATTAATTTCCTTAACAATAGATTACTACGGCCGGTCCTGGCGGCTTGTTATAAAACTGAGTTCCTTGCCATAAATTAGAAAAATCAGCTGAGAACTCTAACAATCAGCTTATGGTAGAGCAGGCGATAAGGGTTATACCTGGAAAGTCGCTTCCGTAAATTTTAGTGGCGCTCCTATCGGCAAAGTACTGAACTAACTATTCAAATTCTGTCGAATTGATACCCATTTTTTTCAATAATTGTTAGGTTTTTGTTAAAAACTCTGCTAACCAATAGATCATTAATTTTCCTCTGATATTCCTGTTAAAATTATTCGACGTATTTTGCATTAATTTGTGGTATATTTTGATTTTAATAAACACATTATTATTTAAACAAATTGTACAACTAACAAACATTTAATGACTCTGCGCCCTGTAAAAAGTGATGTTTTATCCATGTGCGAATTTTCAGGCGATTCTATGATGGTTATGACAAAAAACTTGAAAAGAAAACATACAATGGTGCTTTTTTTACGATTTTTCGCAGCCATATTTTTTTAGTTGATTGAACTGGTCACTGCGCTCTAGATTATGAAAAAAGCTGCAGTTTGATGTATGATACATCTATATTAATATCATTTTTACCACCCAACTAACTTTGCCTATGAAAAATAATATAACCTTTTCTTTAACCTGGAAAGGAGATTCATTTCTTGTAGGGTTTTCACTTCAGAAACGTGAATATGATTTTAGCTTTTGTAATGATAAGGCAGACCAATTAGTGGCAAACTCAAACTAGTAATAGAGTAATTTGGTACTTTATAAAATAAATACATAAAATAATTTCTTCGTCGTTTCCGCATGGCAGACATGTAAAAAACTTCATCCATAATTAAGTTAAATCG